AAGGTCCCAAACCCTATGGAGTGGCTCCGCTGTGTAGACCTTGAGCCAGCGGATTCTACAACAACAACAAAGGAGCAGAGTGGGGCCCGACCCAGCTTTTCCTGCGTAGAGACTGACCTTCCCTCAGTGTTCTCTGGGACACAAACCATACTCTCCACTCACCTTGTCCCCTCACTGTTCTCTGGGACACAAACCGTACCCTCCATACACCCCGTTTGGGGACACAAGAGTTAAAAAGGAAGTTGTTGTTAGGTGTCAGCGAGTTGATTCCAACTCAAAGCCACCCCAAGTACAACAGAACCAATTCTGCCTGGTCCCACGCCATCCTCACTTCATGGCTAGGTTTGAGCATATTGTTGGGAAGAGCTGGTACCCGTGTGTTGTCAGTCTTCCAACACCAGTTCCCCAGATGAACGCTGTGCCTCACTGGACTGGCTAAAGTTCCTTGCCCACTCTGGTGGCCAGCTGCCCCACGTGTCCCCAGCTCCTGCCTTTGCTGAGCCTGGGCCGGCCCCCTTCCTGGAGCCCACAGGGAGCTCTCTGGAAACCTTTTCAAGTCCAGCAAACCAACATACGTTCTTGAAGTGCCCCAGAGATGCCCAGGTGGAAGGATAGTGGCCTGGGGTCACCTTGTGACGTACCCCTTAGGCCTCCATGTCCTCATCTGCTGTCCCGCTCAGAGTCATTACACTGAAAGCCTCCCCTGGGTAAAGGGAGAGGTAAGGCCTCACCTGAAGCAGGACCTGGCTCTTGTCCTCACACCTCCATCGCTGTGGGGAAGGTGCTGCTGAAAGCCCAAAGGGCAACTGGGGGGCACTTCCTGTAGGCTCTCATCCTCACCCCCCCACGGTGCTGGGGTGGGGCAGTGGGAGTCGAGACAGCGTTGTGCGAGCCCAGGGAGCGCCCTGGGGTGGGTGCTGTGGGATAGTTGAGTGGGGCAGGTGTCTGTGCAGGGTGTGGGATGAGAGTCTGGGGGTGCCTAGGATGGGATGCAACGGGAGTCTGGGGGAGGGGCTGAGGAACCTGGGGTGAGTCTCTGTAAGGCTTGAAGTGTGGTCTGTGGGGGGAATTGGAATGGGGTCACTGAGAACGGGGGCACTAAGAAATGGGGCGCTGAGAAATGGGGGCGCTGAGAAACGGGGGCGCTGAGAAACGGGGGCACTGAGAAATGGGGCACTGAGAAATGGGGGCGCTGAGAAATGGGACGCTGAGAAACGGGGGCGCTGTCTTTGAGCTGAGAAACTTTGAGCTTAGTCTAAAGGAGTCCTGGTGTGGCGCTGTGGGCTGATGCGTCAGAGTGCAAAGTTGTTTGAACTGCAAAGTCAGTGGTTCAAGCTCACCAGCTTCTCCTTGGAAACCCTATGTAGGGTCGCTGTGGGTCGGAATTAACTGGATGGCACTTAACAATGACAACAGAATGAAATAGAACCTGAATAGAATGTTAGAACCATCTTATAACGTTACATAGTGATCCTGTATAGGGTTTCCGAGAAGCAGCTGGTAAATTTGAACTGCTGACCTTGCAGTTCAAATGACTTTGTAGTCCAGCACATTAACCCACAGCGCCACACCAGGTCTCCAAAGTGGGCTTAGTAGTTAAAATTTAACTCCCTCCAAAGCTACGATAATGTAGTGGTTACGAATCAGGCTGCGAACCTTAGGGTCAGCGGTTCGAAACTACCAGCCACTCCGCGGGAGAAAGATGAGGCTTTCTACTCCCGTAAAGATTTACACCCTTGGAAACCCTGTACAGGGTCGCTATGGGTCGGAACCGACTCGACGGCACTTCACAACAACAACAACAAATCTACATCTCATCATTGTTGTTGTGAAGTGCTGTTGAGTCAGTTCCGAGTCAGTTCCGACCTATAGTGACCCTGTACAGGGTTTCCGAGGATCCGTTGGTGAACTTGAAGCGCTGACCTTGTGGTTCAAACCAACTTTACAGTTCCGTGCATTCACCCACAGTGACACAAAAGCACTCCTTTTTTTAAATATCCAAAGCCAAATTTGTGGCTGAGGAGGGGAGGGGGCAACTCTCCCCCCAGGAACAAAAGTGAAATCCGCAAACAGGAACAGTTGGAAAGGTCTTTACACCTGGTACTATGTGACCACCCTAAGCATTGGGATGGAAAAACAACACAACAGTGCCACAAGTTTGGAGACCCCTGTTTATGTGCCCAGAATGCCCTCCAACCAGGAGGCAGATTTAGTTAAGTCCCGCTCCTGGGTACCAGATTCAATAAACGCTTTGCTCTTTGCTGAGCCCTGTCTCTGAGTGTTGGCCCCTTTGCGGTTACAGTCTTAAGGGGTTCGGTGGAACTTGGGGATCCATGAGGCATGGCATGGGACACCATGAAGGTCTTGGGGATCATGGAACCTGGGGGAGGACCCATGGGGACTTGAAGTGGGGGCAGTGTGGGAATGGGGAATGGGTGTTTTGGGGACCCCCAGCCAGGAATGCCAATCTGTGGCAACAGATGAGGACCCTCTGAGTCCTTGCTCCTGGGAACTGTCTTTTACTGCCACCTGGACTCTTGGGGTGCGGGTCTGGCCAGGCTCAGTTGAAGCAGCACAGTGACCCCTGCCTGCAAGTCTGATCACCCACAGAAAGCACTCACCCGTCACCCAGTATGCAGACAGGCACCCCACCGTGCACCTGGAGGAGGATCAGGGTGTCGTCGGATGAATAGCACTTTATTGGGGGTTCAGCCCTAGCACTTTGCATACATCCTTTTTCTGAACTTACCTGGGTACAGACTGCAGCCACTTCAGGATAAGGAGGTGGGAACAGAGTGGGATTCAGCATGGAGCTAGGGCTTAGCTGATACCCATGGACACTCCACACCACCGTTCCCAGGCCCTGCAGGCAGGGGATACTCTTCCTGGGTGTTGGCATCATGGGTTAAGCCTTGGGCTGCTAACCCTAAGGTCAGTGGTTCAAATCCACCAGCCACTTTGTGGGAAAAAGATGTCTGCTGCAATGAAGATGTGCGGTCTTATAAACCCTAGGGAGCAGTTCCCCTCTGTCCTATTGGGTCACTGTGAGAGGACATTTTTAGGGGTGGATGCAGCATGGCCACACTGTCATTGGTCAGTATCCCTCGTCCAGTGCAAGCGGTGAACACGCTCAGGCACCTCGGAAGAAGATCCTGGAATCTCCATCGGAAGCACCGGCCACTGGAAGCCTCAAGGAACACAGCTGTACTGACCCACGTGGGGTCATGCTGTGGAGGCTCATGAGTGGACAGATACCGACGTGATTGTCATGGACAGAGTGGTGGGACCATGGGGGAGGTGGGGATTGTCCAGGGACAGCAGACTTGCATGCTGCCCAATCAGGGACAGGCTGTAGCTCCTGTGGACAGGACGGCCACCCCATCCTCTCTGCTCACATGGACACTTCCCTCTGTCTCCAGGGATGCCTATGGCATCTGTCTTTGCTGAAGCTCTGAGTCCATGGAAGGAGGTCCAGCAGGCCACTTGGGGCAGCGTGGTGCCCTTGGAGGGATATCTGCCAGCAGCTCCAAGCCCCCAGCCTTTCATAACAGTCCAATCGGCATGATTCTAGAAGTCTCCAGGGACAGTCACTTGTGAGAAGAGCGGAGTCCAGTCACGCTCCTGATCCACACACAGCGTGTCCTTAGAAGGCAGTCAGTGGCTTTGGAATACCACCTTGTATTCCTGCTTAAAACTCAGAGTGACACACGAACAGGCCCTTCACAGGATGTGTAGATGAAGCAGAAAGAAGGGAGCTCTGGGCTGGCTGTGGATGGGGTGTCGGGCTGCTAACCACAAGGTTGGTGGTTCAAACCCACCAGCGGCTCCTCAGGAGAAAGAGAAGGCTCTTTGCTCCCATGAAGGTGTACAATTTGGGAAAGGTGTACAATTTGGGAAATCTCCTTGGGGGGTCCTACTCTGTACTGTAGTCCGGACTTAGGTTCCAATGGACTTAATGGCAGTGAGTTTGGACTTTGGTTTTAAGCAAAGAGGAGCAAGAGCGACCTGGCCCATCCTGGTGGTCAGTCCCAGTGGCGGTGCTGACCAGGTGATGGCTAGGCGTCCTCTGTGGATAACACAGTGATGAACACAATGATTCACTTGCTTGGTACTCTTCCCTGAAGCTAGCGTCCACCTGGGCTCACAGCTCCCTGTGGGGGCTGGCGGCTCGCTGAACTTTTCCTTGGCCCACAACTAAGTGGGCCTTCAATATTAGGGTCCTTTTAGTCTCTGCAGAGGGGACACAGGACTATCCTGTGTTGTCAGGAGCGTGTGCCTGCAGCTAGGGGGACACTGAGAGAGGAGAGAAGATGAGCTTGTAGGGGAGGGTGATATAGGGGAGGGTGATGTAAGGGAGGGTCTCATTGGGGAGGGTCTCATAGGGGAGGGTCTCATAGGGGAGGGTGTCATGGGGGAGGGTCTCGTAGGGCAGGGTCTGGCAAGGGAGGGTGTCATATGGTAGGGTGTCATGGGAGAGGGTCTGGTTGGGAAGGGTCTGGAAGGGGAGGGTCAGATCAGGGAAGATATGATGGGGGAGGGTCTGGTTAGGAAGGTTGTAATGGGGGAGGGTCTGGTTGGGGAGGAGGTAATGGGGGAGGGTCTGGTTGGGGAGGAGGTGATAAGGGAGGGTCTGATCAGGGAGGAGGTGATGGGGGAGGGTCTGATCAGGGAAGAGGTGATGGGGGAGGGTCTGGTTGGGGAGGAAGTAATGGGGGAGGGTCTGGTTGGGGAGGAGGTGATGAGGGAGGGTCTGATCAGGGAGGCAGTAGTTGATCTGGGACTCAGTGGTCCTGCCCAGAGCAGCTGTGAGGAGGCTGAAGGGGTGGAAGGTGGGGGTGATATGCCAGGGCAGGCTCTGGGACAGCCAGTAGACACCGAAGGGAAGGCCACAGACTAGGAGGAGGAGGACCAGGAGCAGGGTGAAGGCGGGCATCTTGTCGTCTTGGAGCCACTGGGCAGCATTGGCACCTTGCGGTATCAGCTTGTGACTGAGACAGGACTCAGCACATTGGGGTCATGGTCACCCTCAGCACCTGGAACAGGGGCATGTTGGGCTTCTGTCCAGCTGAATTCAGGCCCCTGCTGACGTCCAGAGGCAATGCAGTCTGAGGGTCCCTTTCCCTGTGCATACACAGGTAGCCGGTGGTCCACGTCGATGGCTGCCAGCAGACGCAGGCCACCAGGATACTGGACCACTGCTGAGATGCCAGGCTGGCCTGGGAGATACTGAGGGCAAAATTCACTGCGTGTAGATGACCAAGTTTTCTTGGGTCCCGTTGGAGCAACCCCAGGACAACCCTGTTCCCAAGGCTCCGGATGATGAGGTTGCAGTCTTTGTCTTCCTCACTGAGGGCTGGGGCCTGGGAACCATTGTCTGGCTGAGGTTGGGGTGGGATGCCCTGAAAGAGGTCCCGGGACTGGTTCTGCTCTGCTCTCTGTGCTCCTCTGATCACAACAACATTGAATCCTGGGACTCAGCACTCATGACCCCTCCCCACACCGAGAAGACAGCAGAGGGAGGACGGAGGTGGGTGTGATGTGGGTCAGAGGAGGATGGGGCATGGACAGCATACTGCCCCACTGCTGGACACCAGCCTTCCGATGTGTCTGTGGCAGGCTGGCTCCAGCAGCTATGGCACTGGGCGGTGATGGGAGTTGGGGAAAGGCTCAAATGCTTTCATGTGGCTGAGTGTCTGCTGGCCCAGGGTGAGGTAGGGGTGAGGCAGGGAGTGTCTGCAGTGTTGTTGTGGAGCCAGGGCTGTTGTTGTTAAGTGCCATCGAGTCGGTTCCGGCTCTGTATTGGGCTTCTGAGGAGCATCTTGCGATTCAGCAACTTTGCAGTCCAGCTCATTAACCCACAGTGTCACCACACTAAGACCCTGTGGGGCCAGGGCAGAGGTGGCTAATCATATGTGTCCACTTGACTGGGTGAGGGTGTGTAGAGGTTTGGTCAAATGCTGGTGTCGATGTTGCTCTAAAGGTATTTTATAAATCTGATGACTAACAGATGACCGGAAGGCAAGCAGGTGACCTCCACATTGTGGGTGGGCTTGACCTGATCAGGTGGAGCCTGAAAGCAAACATTGAAGTTTGGCAGGGAGGAGAACTCAGCCTCCACCCGAAAGGGAGGCATTCTCCCTCCATCTGCCCACTGATTAGAAGCTGGTCAGTCCCACAATCAAGTGAGCCAGGTACTGAAAAGAAATTTCTCTGTGCCCACAACACACATGCATACAAGCTCATGCACACGCACACGCTCGGATTGGTATTGATGCTATTTCTCTGGACAGCCCTGGTTCCTAGGCAGGCAGCGGGGTTGAGGGGCTCAGCAAGACCCCAGTTGGAGCCCTCACTATGAGGTGATCCCTGAGGCAGCAGTCTTTTATGTGGATCCTCTACCTAACTGGTGGCTTTGAAGGAAGAGGAGTCCAGTAGGTGGGGGCACCATGACCGTGCTGCAGAATCCTGGGGAGGGGGGTGTATAGAGCATTTGATCCATCCTTAGTGATTGAGAAGATGGGCAGAAGAAGGGGGGGAAGGTAGGGGGGTACACAGAAGGCGGAGGGGGAGCAGGAGGGAGGGAAGGGAGGGGATGGAAGTGGAGGATGCATGGGGGACGGGGAGGATGCACAGAGTGGAGAGGGGGAGGGTGAGCAGGAGAGGGAGGGTCAGGAGGGGGAAGAGGAGGAGGAAGCAGAGGGGAGGATGCACAGAAGGGAGAGGGTGAGCAGGAAGGGGGAGGGAGGAGGGGGAGGGAAAGGAGGAGGAGGGAGAAGATCATGGAGGATGAGCAGGAGGAGGGAGAGTGAGCAAGAGGGGGAGGGGAGGGAGAGGAGAAGTGGGAGGGAGGGAAGAGGAGAGGATCATGAAGGATAAGCAGGAGAGAGAGGGGGAGGAGGGAAGGGAGGAGTGGGAAAAGGGAAGGAAAGAGGGGGAGGATGAACAGAAAGGGGAGGGGGAGGGGAAGAAGGGGAGGAAAGTGGAGGATGAAAAGAAGGGGGAGGGGGAGCAGGAGGGTGAGGAGGGTAGGGAGAAGAAGGGAGGAGGGAAGGGAGCAGGAGGGGGAGGATGAACAGGATGGGTGGCAGGGTTGTGTGTTGAGGGGTGGGATAGGATGGGGAGTGAGAGCTGGCATGAAGCCAGTCTTGCTCTGTTGACAGAAATCAGGAGGCAGGGCTGGGTAGGGCTGCTCTGCAGGGGTAAGGATCCCTGGCTGGTGATCCATCTGCTGCCAGCTGTGGACACAAGGACTGAGGAGCCCAGTTCCGGGTGGGGCAGGGAGACTGGTGGGTTCCCAGGGGAGGGTGGGCTCACCTTGCACTATCTCCTCCAGATCTGAGCCCAGACCTCCCCACCTAGCAGGAACCTGAGTCAGAACAACCAGAAGGTGGAAAGCTTCGTTCCAAGGGTCATTCCTTCTGGAATCAGCAGCCAAGGTGGCTGATGGCCAGGAATCCAGCCCAGTCCAAGGGCGGAGACGCAACATAGGCAGCATCAGAAGAGCTGTGGCAGTCCACAGGATGGGGAGGCTGCCTCCCCAATCCTGTGGACTGAGGAGTGGGGGCGGGCCCCCAGGGACTCCCACTCTGCTGCCACCTGACCTCTTACCGTAATCCTGGGAGGAGGCGCTGCTATTCCTTAAGAGTCTCCTGGTGACCGGCTGGGATGAGCTGTTCAGTGTCTCAGTGTGGAGCAGCAGAGAGGACCCAGGTGTTAGCCCGGAGCCCTCTGCCGCTCTCTGGGCAGCTGGAGTGCAGACGTGCCCACAAGGGCTCCAGTGGAGCAAGGCCAAGTAGTGACCTCACCCAAGACAGAAACTCCCGTGGTGCCCTAAGGACCACCACTAGAGGTCAGCCGAGTCCTGTGGAGCTGAGGCTGTGGCTGGCAGGGTCCAGGAAGGGAACTGTGGGAGTGGCAGGTCAGCTAAGGGTGAGGGGATGGTGACCAGTCAGATGGCTGCCCACACAGGCCATAGCACAACAGAACACCCACAGCAGTCTCAGCCCGCAAAGTCAAGTCTATCTGCTTGTCTTCATAGGGACAGAGCCCTCATCGATCACCCGTGTCCCAGCCCTGCAGTGGCGAAGCCTAAAGCAGATATGTGAAGAGGATGCCAACACGTTCCCATTCAGTGTCTGACTTTCTGGCCACTAAGATATTGGCAGCTCACGTTTGTACATCAGAAAGTTGTCTTTATAAAAAAAAAAATTCTATTTGTTTTCTTTTTAAAATTATGAACTGAGTGATAGCGGGAGAACATCAGCTTTACACCATCATTTCATTGCAATGATTACAATCTCCTCCGTGCATCAGCATTCAACAGTATTTGCTTCCATTCCCTCTGTTTCTCTTTTTCCTTTTGGGGGGATATGTGCAGGGATGTACACAAAAATACTCAGGAATGTATAATAATTTTCACCACCAAAGGGCACATTCTGCAAGTCTGCTTCCTGGCCGCCAGCATTCAGTCCCTCTCTTTCCATGAGTCTAGAGTCCTCAGCTGCTCCCTCTCTCCATGTCCTCATCTCTGCCTCCATCTCTGGCGTTGCTGCTTCTCTGGATAAGGTCCCACATTCTGCTTGTGCTCTTCTCCCTTGATAGTCCTAGGGTTCTCTGTTCCTGGACTGTAAGATTAACTACTCCCATGTTTTTGTTACAAAACTTCTACCTTTACAATTGTGACAGTCGCAATTTGTCATGATAACAATTATTCACTATTGAATCATAAGAATCTTATCCCCATCTCTTTTCATCAGACCTGTCCAGACAAGATAAAAATTATTTAGTGGGGACTCTATCTTCCCCCACATACCCTTTTTTTTAAAAAAATGTTTTATTGTGAATTATGTGATTGTTTACATGGGAGAACATTAGCTTTACAGTTATCCTATAGTATATCATTTCATTGCCATGGTTACAATCCCCTCCATGCATGATCACCCAATCAAAGGGTCGTCAGCACACAGCCCCTCTCCCTCGCTGAGTCTAGAGTTCCTGGCTGCTCCATCACTCCACATGTTGTCTCTGCTTCCATCTCTGGAGTCACTATTTCATTCATGCAGTCTATAACTTTCACAGGTGTTGTCTGCCTCCCTGGTATATGGCAGCTGGTATTGGTTCTTGCCTGGGTTTTGGTGTTTTATAGAGTGTGACTGTATGGCAGCAGTTGCTGTCTCGTCTTGGGTAATATAGGGAGAGAAAGAGTCCCTCAAAGGTAGAAGGGGGAGCATAAAACAGCAACAGCAAAACAAAAACAAACAAACAAACAAACAAACAAAAACCTGAGACTGGATACTGCAGTCTATAATCACAGAAAAGGGAGAAGAGGGAGAGAAGAAAGAAAAAAAAATTCTGTAGCCTAATATGAGTATGACTTTAATGTCCTCTTTCAGCTTCTTGCCTTCAAAGCTGCCTGAGAGATTTCAAGATGCCACTGTTGGCTGTTATGCTATACCTCAGGATTTAATTTAATTTTTGGCCTGTTTTGATTTTAAATTCTCTTTCGCTCTTCAAGCCTCTTGTTCTGGCTTTTCCATATTAAAAAAAAAAACAAAAAACAGTTCAGGGCCTGCTCTTGGGCTGAGAGTATCTGTGCGCATGCATGGCAGAAGAACCCACCAGTGGTGAGGGTGGGGGTATCCACTAGCTCAGGCTCCCCCTCTAGTCACCAGAATGGAGGTGTGCAAACAGTGGGGGGCCAATGAACAGACACCAAAAAGAAGAAAATCAGAACTAAGCAGCAAAACCAACAAAATATATTGTCCACCTTTGCTCCGAGGTTCCCACGGCACTTTTCCATTGTGTGTCTGCTCCCCCGCTTGGCCTTGCCATTTGGTCTTGCCCAAGTTGTTGGCTCCAGGCCCCTGAGCCCGGCAGATTCAAAAGTATGTGATTTCTTATTTTTTCTATAAGTTCCACTAGCTATAACCCTTCAAACCTTTTAAATATTCCTACCTCTGTGGTTCCAAGTTTTGGAGCTCTGCCCTGGATCTGCTTTGCCTGGTATTCTGTGGTATGGTTGATGGTGAACCTCACTCCACCTACACCCTAGCCGACATCAAGCCCCGCCTTCCCCCACGTACTCTTAAACTAAACTCCTTCTTGAAAACTTGTAAGCCAGTCACTTTGTGATTATCGCCCCCTCATTTTAGGTAGCCAATGTTTAAGTTGTCCATCCCTATCTATCCTGTGTACTGAGGAAATAGGGTTGACATTTGATGCGAAGACTCCTTCCCTCTCAGTTGGTATTTTGAGCTATTGCATCCATAAATGTAGCTCAAGTTCATCAAATTGTAGCAGTTTACAATCATTTCCTTTATAAAAAATAGTTTTTTATCTTCCTCTAGTCGAATTCTGATTATCAAGCCATCGAGGCTAGGTCAAATGGGTACTATCTGCAAGTTTGGGTGTTCTTGTGCGTCACCTCTTACTTCATATCAGTTGGATGCTTCACTCTCAACTCTAGCCTTCCGTGGCTATGTCCTTGTCCATGGGCGCTGGTGTCTCCAGGTCTCACCACACTTCCATGAGAAAGCTTATGGCACCTCTAGAAGAACTCTTTATTTCCCGTCTATCATCTACATGAGGCTTTCTGCTCCCATAAACATTGACAGCCTCGGGAATCCTACACAGAGCCATTGTGAGTCGGAACCGACTCCACAGCACAGCACCACCACCTTGTTTATATTGTTATAACAGTTTATATTGTTATACACAGCACAGCCCACACCAAGGTGACATTTCTCATCATGCAGATCCTCCCCCAAGAACAGAACTCACTGCCCCCTAATTTTATGAATCCTCAGCTTCTTATAACTGCGGAAAGATATGTTTTCATATCTCTTGAGCAAACTTCTAGGTGTGAGAAGAAGAGGCCACTGCATTTTCCCTGATTCGAGGGACAAAGCAAACACAGGAAGCTCGAGGGAATTGCTAAGTTCTCCAACACCACATGCTGTGTGCATTATTTTGGTAAAAGTGCAGTAAGCAACTTTATAAGTGTCATTCCCACCAGCAATGCCAGACTGAATAAAGGGAGTTTCCTACAACATTTACAGAGCTGCAAGGCTGAGCCTCCCCACAGCCCGCTCAAGACCAGGGCTGGGGTGGGTGGGCTTCAGGTGAAGGGATGGAGCGTCCTAAAACACAAAGTTAGAAGGAAATGGCATTGTGTTTACTTTCAGAAAGATCATGCTGTTGGAGCTGTTTCAGTTCTGACATAAGATAGCTGAGAGAAGAGCATGACCTCATACCTAAGAAGAAGATATTTCACGTATTTTAATCCAAACATGCTGGGGTGGAAAGTGGGGAGGGTCTCTCCTGGCCCATGTCTCTGGTGTGTCCTCCCTGGGGGTCTGCGGGAGGGGTAGGTCTCATTCTTTTCCCTGGAATGCTTGCAAGCCCAGCAGTGACCTTATCTGTTCCTAAGGACACCAGCCTGGCCAGGATGGCTTGGGGGGGAGCAGGGGTGCTGGGGCCCAGAGTCGGGGCTGGGCCTGGTGGACATACACTCTGCCCCTCCTCAGACTGGACCAGCCTGCCCTCCTGGCCACCTTGGGAGATGGGTTGAGGTCTACTTTATTCAAGGTCTGGGTAAAGGCCTGCTCAGGGTCATGCAGGGGAAGGGCCTGAGGGGCTGGGCCGTCCAGGGTCAATGGTGGGGGCTGAGGGGACTGGGTGTGGTCTTGGGGCAAAAGTGGGTGTGTCACCACATGAGTCAGAAGGGCTGTGAACTGGGAAGCAGCAGGTGACAGCCAAGTAGTCCTGGGGGGTCTGGACACTCAGCTGCCCACTTGGCTGAGACTCCAGTACAGAGGACAAACTACCCAGGGTGGGAAGCAGGAAGACTGGAAGGCCTCGGAGATGCAGGCCAGAGGGGATGCAACTCTGAGGGGACAACTTTTGCAGCCTTTCCCCAGCTGCCTCACGCCCAGGCGGGCCTCAGCACAGTGGCGCTGAGTCATGCATTCTTGTCACCTACAAGACAGAAATACTCACTCACCTGCTGTTGCTTGGGGCATTCCAGAAATTGAGGTCCTTGCACCCTCTTCCTGTAAGTCTGGGCTATTTATCATGTAGCGCAGATACAGCCAGCTGCCCACTGTCAGCCTGGTCCCAAGGGCATAAAAGGAACTATTTTCAGGGGTTGGGGGATGAGGCTGATAGAAGAGACACAGGGCTGGTCCCAACGCACCACCCTCTGAATTTTGCCCTACCTGACCCCGTTTTCCAGGTCTTCCAAGGAGGAGATCATACCCTTCAGTGGTGTCACAAGACTGGGGATCACCCTTCTCCATGTCCCCAATGCAAAGCCCAGCCCACATCCCAGGACCTGTCTCTGTCCCCTACCCCCAGCCCTCAAGAAGATGCAAACCTGCATAGCTGGGTGTCTGCTTGGGGAGCTGCAGGTTAGTGCCTCCTGTCCAGGGACTCCTGCTGTCCAGAGGGCACATTATTGTTGCTGTGAAGTGCCCTTGAATTAGTTCCGATTCATAGCGTCCCTGTATAGGGTCACAGCTCGCTCACCTGCTGACACCCCTTCCTGTCTGAGGTGCTCTTGGCTGCAGCCCCGCTCAATATCCTTCAGCTCAGGAAACAGCCAGGGCTCCTCGGCCCTAAATCCTCTCGTGTCCTCTGGGGCCCCTGGTGGGATGAACAGCCAGCCAGTTCCCTAGAAGTGGGAGGGTGTGGTTCCCTGTTCAGAGAATGAGCTAAGACAGAGTTGTTCTCCAGGCAGGACGGCCCTTCCTCCTCCTCAGTTCACCCTGGCGTCGGAGACCCAAGGGACAGATGCCCAGACAACATCATGCCCAGCAAGGTGCTGGACTGGACTTCCTGGGCTATTTCTGTATAGGGTTTCTGAGTTTAAGGTCGAGGGCTTCTACTACTTTGCTACATGTATTACTTTTCTAGGGAAAAGGGTGCCTTCAGTCCCCAGTTTTTGTGTGGTTGTAAAAATGCTTTGTTCTGACGGGTCTATCTTGCAGGTATGTAATGGTAGTTCGTTGACGAAACGCTGCCGGGGCCTACGCCACCCTCATCACCGTTGCTATGTTAGAATCTATTGCCAGACATCTTTATTTTGGTTTGAAAAAGAAGGAATTTCTGAATATTTTAAAATAATGTCTAGAGAGTTCTACACCCAAAGTGGTTCCTTTTGAGTCCGCGAATGTGGCGATCATGTTTCTAATATGCACGGCTTAAACCATGTAGCAATGACTGCACACTATTTATTCATTTTTATCAATAGAAAATACATAAAATGATTTGTACAGGGGGCTTTTCTCTCTTTTTTGGTGTGCATGCTGAGGGTTACAGGTGAGCCAAGGGCTGACGAAGGGGGCTGAGTCCTGGGCTCCCACAGGCAGCCTCCGGAGAGCCTGGGGGCTGTGAATGAGCAGAGGGTCTGTGGGCGGCTCTCTCAGCCCTGAGGCGGTTTTGTGGAGCCGCAGCGCCTCCTGGTGGCCGCTGTCAGTACTGTTGGTTGGGGTCCTCAATGAGGTGACGGGTTTCCAAGGGGATGTGTGGGGAGCAAGAGGGTGTGCTGGGAGCCAGGAGAGAGGACAGAGCAGAGGACCCCATAAGCTGTCCTTTCTAAGGCTCCACTCTGACCCTTTAGTGAGGGGCAGTCCAGCCTCTGAGGTCTTGGGGGATATCTGTCTTTTCATGCCCTTGGTTTTAGGGTGTGTTGTTGGGGGAGCAGGGTAGAGTGGAGGGAGATGAATCAGATGCCAGGGTCGGGGGTGTCTGCCCTTAGGGTTCCCTCCCCACCCGACCTTCCCCAGCCATGCCTAGCCTTATCCTCAGACGCCTTGGCATGTGGGGTTATCTCTCATAACCTGCCCCTCTTGGGTCCTGAGGGCTAGTGGGGTCCCAGCATCTTTTGGAGTGTGACAGGGCTCCTGTGGTCCTGAGGAAGGTCCTAGGTTTCTGGGGATGGTCACATTCTCTGTAGGAAGGTGAGGCCTGGCGGGTGGGGACACAGTCCACCATCTACATATGGACCATGGGCAGGGACAGCCCCGCAGGGCCCCGCTCGTCCACCTCGCCTAGTGCCTTCTGGAAGATGGCCCTCAGGGACTCTCGCTTTCCGGGTTGTCGGCCCAGCACGTAGTAGACCAGGGGCTTGGCGCCACAGTGGACGCAGGCCAGCAGGGTGGCAATGGGCAGGAACATGGACAGCAGGAAGCTGAGCAGCGGCTGCAGGATCCAGTAGAGGACAAAGGGCAGCCCACACAGGAGTAGCAGCAGCGTGCAGGCCAGAACCAGGCCATAGAAGCGTGGCCGGGGGCGCTGGGAGCAGCAGCTGACCCACACGAACAGGATGAGGCCCGACCCGCAGGCTGTACCGACCAGGGCCAGCAGCCAGGTGGCGCTGGTCGCCTGGTACCGGATGCAGGTCAGAAAGCGAGTGCCATCTCGAAGCAGGCCACAGGCGCGGGCGGGCAGCAGCACGGCGGGCAGGGTCAGCGCCCAGACCAGCGCGCAGAGCCCAGCCGAGGTGTGTCGGGGCCGGCAGCGCTGGTGGCAGCTGGGGAAGATGTCGGAGATGCAGCGCTCAGCTCCCAGGACTGCCAACAACCAGAGCCCCGTCGCGAACCAGAGGAAGGTGATTGCCAAGTAGAGCTTGTCAGATCCCAGGGCCTCCTGGACGGCAGTGAAGGCCAGCTGGCAGCCCAGGAACAGGAAGTCAGCTGCGGCCAGGTTGAGCACGTAGACATTGAAGGGACCCTTCTTGATGTGGAACCCCAACTGCCAGAGGAGCAGCCCGTTCCCCACCAAGCCCCCAATGCCCACAAGCAGCGTGAGGTAGAAGACAACGTTGTTGAAGGTTCTCCAAATGCTGAACATTCTGGATCTTCCAGTTGACCATCCAGGTCTGTCCACGGGGAGCTGACCCTGAGGGTGCCTGGAGAGGTGGTGGGTGTTAATTTATGTCATTCTTGGGAGTGTTGGCTGTAGTTTTGCAGGTCTTCCCTGGTGCAACCAAACACAGGGACCACCCTGCAGTGGGTGAGTTGGGTCTCCCAGAAGCTAAGATCAAGGCCTGACCCTGCAGGCAGAAGCTGTTTGAGGAAGTAGACTTTGTTTTTTTCCAGGTGTGATCAATTAAGTTAAAGAAATCACCAGGGAGTAGGAGGGTCCCTCAGCGGCACACACAGTTAAACACTCAGCGTCTGGGTGAGAGGTTGACTGCTCAAATCCACCCAGAGCCACCTTCTTCAGTGACAGGACTGAAGATCTGCTTCTGAAAGGTTCCCAAGCCCTATGCAGCCATTCTACACTACACACATGAGGTCACCTTGAGTCCAAATCAGCAGACTCTACAACAACAACAACAACAACAACAACAGGACCAGTGTGGGTCCCGACCCAATCCTTCCTGCTTGGTGTTTTATAAAAACAGACGGGGAAGAACAAGGCAAGGAACCCGGGAGAAGTCCAGGGTTGCAGAAGGTGATGGAGAAGAGAGACCATCCCTGGAGCTCATGGAGAGAGAGTGGTCCCACCGAGGTCTTGAATTTGTTTCTGAATGAATTTCTGTCCTTTAAGCCCACCTACCCATCACCCACAGGGAGACCTGATGTGGTGCTGCAGGATAATGTACTGGACTGAACGTTCGGTTTGAAACACAAGGTTGGCGGTTCAAACACATCAATTGCTCCTTGGAAACCATATACAGGGTTGCTATGAGTCAGAATCGACTCAACAGCATTTAACAACAATACCCATACTGTGGAACCTTGATATGGTGCTATAGTCTAAGCAAGGTCGGCAGTTCAAATCCACCAGCCACTTCTTGGAAACCCTATATGGGGTTTCTATGAGTTAGAACTGATGGCACATAACAACAACAACCACACTGTGGCCTTTGTCATTGCAGCCCCGAGGGACACAGGCAGGGACTATGGTATCCTCCCTTGGGGCCTTGCTGACTGCTTGGGTACAGGAGGACTAAACACAGGGTACCCCAACACAGTGATACCCAGGCAGGTGGGAGACCCTGCCTTCTGCCAGGCTGGTGATCGGACACCATAGGAAGCCCTGAGGGTGATGTGGACAGTGCTGTGAGGACCTGCCATGCACTGGAGGGACCCCTGCAGGCAAAGGGACCCCACAGACCCTGGGTTGATCTCCCCTTCCTCTACCAGGGACCCCCCCTCCACTGGACTTCCTGCTAAGCTTCCACAACCGAGTCTGCTATGGATGGGGTTGAGTCCAGGGACCCCAGGACACTCTGCCCTGTGCCCCAATCTCAGAACCCCATGTTAATGATGGAGATAGGTGCTGGGGTGCGTTGGTCAGAGGGGGTTTCTTTTGGGGGCTCTGCTGGGTGGAATTCAGAGCTGGGATTTCCACATTGTGTGGGTGATGGGTCATCATGGTCCTCGAGGGAAGAGTCAGTGTGAGGGGCTGTGCCAGGATGGGAGAGCTGATCCTGCCTTCCCAGCCACCAAAGACCCCACCTGGTCAGTGGAGCTGAGGAGTGGGGGGTGAAGTTGGGGGTGGAGAGTGGGTAACAAGGGCCAACAAAGAGACAGAGAGAGACCAGAGAGCGAGAGATGAAGAGACCATGAGACACAGAAAGAATAAGACAGAGACCCACAGAGACAAAGACAGAGACACAGAGAGAAAGAGATAGAGAGAGGCAGACAGAGACACCAGGAACACAGAGAGAGATGGAGAGATGGAGAGACCATGAATCCCCACTGCTCTTCTCATCCCAGTACCACCCTCCCAGCTCTTCACTGGGTCCCGCCCCCATTTAAGGCTCTTCCTGACCTCATGAGCATGACCTGCTACATCGTCCCTGAGGCTCAGTCCTGCCCCCGTGTATCCCCGCCTGGGACAGGCACCTGCTGGGTGCAAGTAGGGCATCTGCAGGGAGCAGGGGTCTCCAGACCTAGAGGTTAGAGGTCTCACCCTGGGACATGGTCAGATGCCCCTCATCAAGCCTCAGTTTCCCCATGGTACACGGGAATACTCACGAAGGTGTCCCTAAGTCCTTTCTGCTCCTGCCAGGGTTCTGGGGTGGAAAGAGAATCAAGTTTTCCCTGTGGGAAGCCTACTCTGAGAGAGCTACAGAGGGAGTTAGCCTGCATCCTGAGAGGACATGTGCTTGGTTCCTGTCCCCAGCCCCTACCCCAACTCCCCCACCCACAAAGTCCATCTTAAAGGAGCTGCAACCTTCCCCAAAGGAGCAGGCTGGGTGAAGGAGTCCTGGGGATAGATCGCTCACCTGCTGACACCCTTTCCTGTCTGAGGTGCTCTCTCCTGCAGCCCCGCTCAATATCCTGCAGCTCAGGGAACAGCCAGAGCTCCTCGGCCCTAAATCCTCTCATGTCCTCTGGGGCCCCTAGTGGGATGGACAGCCAGCAAGTTCCCTAGAAGTGGGAGGGTGTGGTTCCCTGCTCAGAGGATGAGCTAAGACAGAGTTGTTCTCCAGGCAGGACGGTCCTTCCTCCTCCGCAGTCCACCCTGGCCTCAGAGACCCAAGGGACAGATACCCAGGCAGCATCATGCCCAGCAAGGTGCTGGACTGGACCACCTGGGCTATTTCTTGCCAGGCACCTGCCCTTGGTGTCATGTGCTGTGGCCAGCAGCTGGATGCCCGGGGCAGCTGTGTGGCCTTGAGCTGCTGACCTGATCTCTCCATGACTCAGTTTCCCCCTCTCACACATTCTTGTTTGAACAGCTGCCTCTTGGTCCAGGTACAGATTCCTCATGAGCTGCCAAAAGAACCAGTAGATCCATTTTGAAAGGAGTGCAACCAGAGTGCTCCTTGGAGGCCAAAATGGCCAAACTACGTCTCAACAAGGGTCCAAACTCAACCACGGGGATGCCGCTGCCTTGTTCAGCATCTCATCTCCAGCAGCAGATGTCTGGCCTGTGGAGCAGGGCTCCATGGAAGATCCCCCACTGCCGTCCAGTTGGTTAGGACTCACAGACCCCCTGTAGGATAGACGAGAGAGCTGCCCCACAGGGTTTCCTAGGCTGGGCATCTTTACAGAAGCAGACTATGCAGGAAGCGGCGTGGCTTCTGATGTTTGACATGGTCCCAGCAGAAGGAGAGATATCATGCAAGACAGATAATTCTCAGAAGCTGCTTTCTCTCTTCTCTCTAAAATAACTTTGAATTCACTTGTAAAATTATATAATATGGCCATATTCACAGCCTTTTACTATGAGCTCTATAGACCTTGGGAAAAAAAACTGGTCTAGCAACAATTGTTTTCAGCTTCGGTGGATTGAATTCAAAGGCAATTGTATGTGCCACTCCTATTCACAGAAAACCTAAGTACAAAGTAACTGCATTTGTGAGATCACATAAGCAGATAACAA